TTATTAATGTCTGTGTTATTGGAAACTACGCTTGCTCATGGTGATCACCTTATTTTAATAATGGACTAGTTATTGAACTACGCTCGCAGGGGTCCCCGCCTTATTTAATAATGTACTGTGTTATGTAAACTCACCTCTCAGGGTACCCACCTTATTTTAATAATGTACTGTGTTATTGTAACTACGCTCTCAGGGTGAGCACCTTCTTTTTAATATGGAATGTGGTTCATTGTAACTACGCTCTCAGGTTTGATCAACTATTTTAATAATACTGTGTTATTGTAACTACGCACTCAGGGTACCCGCCTTATTTTAATAATGTACTGTGTATTATTGGTAACTACTCTCTCAGGTGATCACTTATTTTAATAATGTACTATGTTATTGTAACTACGCTCCTCAGGGTACCCACCTATTTATTAATGTACTGTGTTTATAGTAACTACGCTCTCAGGGTACACACCTTATTTTAATAATGTACTAAGTTATTGTAACATACGCTCTCAGTGATCACTTATTTAATATGTACTAGTTTTATTGTAACTACGCTCTCAGGGTGATCACCTTATTTTTAATAATGTACTGTGGTTATGTAACTACGCTCTCAGGGTGTTCACCCTTAATTTAATAATGTACTATGTATTGTAACTACGCTCCAGGTTGATCACCTTATTAATAATGTACTGTTGATATTAAACTACGCTCTCTGGTGATCACCTTATTTAGAATATGTACTAAGGTTATTGTAACTACGCTCTCAGGGTGATCACCTTAGTTTTAATAATGTACTGTGTTATTGTAACACGGCTCTCCAGGGTACCCGCCTTATTTTAATAATGTAACGTGTTATTGTAACTAACGCTCTCAGGTGATCACATTTTTTAATAATGGTAACTATGTTATTGTAACTACCTCGTCAGGGTATCACTTATTTAAATAATGTGCTGTGTTATTGTAACTACGCTCTCAGGGTATCCCGCCTTAATTTTAATAATGTAAACTGTGTTTATTGTAACTACCTCTCAGGGTACCTACCCACCTTATTTTTAATAATGTACTGTGTTATGGACTACGCACTCAGGTGATCACCGTTATTTTAATAATGAACTGTGTAATTGTAACACGCTCGCAGGGTGATCACCTATTTTAATAATGGTACTATGTATGTAGCTACGCTCTCAGGGTGATTCACCTTATTTAATAATGTACTGGTGTTATTGTCAACTACGCTCTCAGGTTCCCACTATTTTAATAATGTACTGAGTGTTATTGTAAGCTACGCTCTCAGGGTGGAACACCTTATTTTATAATGTACTGGTTTATTGTAACTACGCGCTCTCAGGGTACCCACCTTATTTTAATAATGTAACTGTGTTATTGTAAACTAACGACTAACGCTCTCAGGGTGAACACCTTAATTTAATAATGTACTGTGTTTATTGACATACGCTCTCAGGTAACCCACGTTATTTAATAATGTACTGTGTTAGTTGTAACTACGCTCTCAGGGTACCCGCCTTATTTAATAATGTACTGTGTTATTGTAACTACGCTCTCAGGGTACCCACCTTATTTTAATAATGTACTGTGTTAGTGTAACTACGCGCTCAGGGTACCCACCTTATTTTAATAATGTACTGTGTTATTGTGAACTCCGCTCGCAGGGTTGACCCGCCTTATTTTAATAATGGTACAGTGTTATTGTAACTACGCTCTCAGGTACCCCCTTATGTAATAATGTACTGTGTTATGTACACGCCATCAGTACCCGCCTTATTTTAATAATGAACTGTGTTATTTGTAACTACGCTCTCAGGTACCCACCTTAATTTTCATAATGTACACGTGTTATTGAACTACGCTCTCCAGGGTACCCCCTTATATAATAATGTACTATGTTATTGAACTACGCTCCAGGTACCCACCTTATTTTAATAATGTGTACTGTGTTATTTGTAACTACGGCTCTCAGGTACCCACCTTATTTTTAATAATGTGTACTGTGTGTTATTGTAACACGCTCTCAGAGGGTATCCACCTTATTTTTAATAATGGACTGTGTTATTGTCACTACGCTCTCTGGGTACCCGCCTTATTTTAATAATGGACTGTGTTATTGTAACTACGCTCTCAGGGTCCCACCTTATGTTAATAATTACTGTGTTCTTGTAACTACGGCTCTTCAGGTACCCACCTTATTTATATAATGTCTGGTTATTGTAACTACCTCTCAGGGTACCCACCTATTTTAATAAATGTACTGTTGTTATTGTAACTACGCTCTCAGGTACCCACCTTATTTTAATAAAGTACTATTTATTGTAACTACGCTCTCAGGGTCCGCACTATTTTAATAATGTACTGTGGTTATAATGTAACTACCTCTCAGGGTCCCCACCTATTAATAATGTACTGTGTTATTGTTATCTACGCTCTCAGTGGTACCCACCTTATTTTAATAATGTACTGTGTTATTGTAACTACCTCTCAGGTACCCACCTTATTTTAATAATGTACTGTGTTTATTGTAACTAACGCTCTCAGGGTACCCACCTTATTTAATAGATGTACTGTGTTATTGAACGACTCTCTCAGGTACGCCACCTTATTTTAAAAATGTACTGTGTTAAAGTACACTACGCTCTCAGGGTACCCACCTTATTTTAATATGTACTGTGTTATTGTAACTACGCTCTCCAGGTACCCACCTTATTTTAAATAATGGTACTGTGTTATAGTAGACTACGCTCGCAGGTACCCACTTATTTTAATAATGTACTGTGTTATTTGTAACTACGCTCTCAGGGTCCCCACCTTATTTTTTTAATAATGTACTATGTATTGTAACTACGCTACGCTCTCAGGTACCCACCTTATTTTAATAATGTACTATGTTATTGTAACTACGCTCTCAGGGTACCCACCTTATTTTAATATTGTACTATGTTATTGTAACTAAACGCTTCTCAAGGGTACCCACCTTATTTAATAATGTACTGTGTTATTGTAACTACGCTCTCAGGGTACCCGCCTTATTTAATAATGTACTGTGTTATTGTAACTACGCTCTCAGGGGTAACCCACCTTTTGTAATAATGTACTATGTTATTGTAACTACGCTTCTCAGGTACCCACCTTATTCTAATAATGTCCTGTGTTATTGTAACTACGCTCTCCAGGGTACCACCTTATTTTAATAATTACTGAGTTATGTTAACTAAACGCTCTTCAGGGTACCCGCCTTATTTAATAATGTACTATGTTTAGTTGTAACGACGCTCTCAGGTACCCACCTTATTTTAATAAGTACTGTGTTATGTAACACGCCTCTCAGGTACACACCTGTATTTTACTAATGTATCTGATGTTAGTGTAGACTACGCTCTCAGGGTAACCCGCCTTATTTGTAATAATTACTAGTTATTGTAACTACGCTCTCAGGTACCCACTATTTTAATAATGAAACTTTGTTATTGTAACTACGCCTCTCACTCTAGGGTACCCACCTTATTTTAATAATGTACTCGTGTTATTGTAACAACGCCTCAGGTACCCACCTTATTTTAATAATGTACTGTGTTATTGTAACTACGCTCTCAGGGGACCGGGGGGGGGGGGGGGGGGGGGGGGGGGGGGGGGGGGGGGAATGAGTGGAATAATGTACTGTGGTTATTGTAACTACGCTCTCAGGGTACCCAACCTTAAATTTAATAAAGTTCTGTGTTAATTGTAACTACGCTCTCAGGGTACCCACCTTATTTTAATAATGTACTATGTAATTGTAACTACGCGCTCAGGGTACCCACCTTATTTTTAATAATGTACTGTTGTGATTGTAACTAACGCTCTCAGGGTACCCACCTTATTTTAATAATGTACTGTGTTTATTGTAACTACCTCTCTGGGTACACACCTATTTTAATAATGTACTGTGTTAGTGTAACTACGTCCTCAGGGTACCCACCTTCTTTTAATAATGACTGTGTTATTGTAAATCTACGCTCCTCAGGGTACCACCCCACCTATTTTTAATAATGTACTGTGTTTATTGTAACTACGCTCTCTAGGGTACCCACCTTATTTTTAATAATGTACTGTGTTATGGTAACTACGCTTCTCAGGGTAACCATCCTATTTATAATGTACTGTATTGTAACTACGCTCTCAGGGTACCCACCTTATTTTAATAATTGTACTGTGGTTATTGTAACTCGCTCTCAGGGTACCCGCCTTATTTGAATAATGTACTGTGTGTTATTGTACCTCACGCTCGTCAGGTACCCACCTATTTAATAATGTTACTTGTGTTATTGTAACTACGGCTCTCAGGTACCCACCCTTATGTAATAATGTACTTGTTATTGTTACACGCTCTCAGGTTACCACACCTTATTTTAATAATGTACTGTGTTATGTAACTAAGCTCTCAGGGTACCCCCGCCTTATTTAATAATTGTACTGTGTTTATTGTAACGACGCTCTTCCAGGGTACCCCACCTTATTTTAATAATGTACTGTGTTATTGGTAACTACGCTCTCAGGGTACCCACCTTATTTTAATAATGGTACTGTTTTATTGTAACTACGCTCGTCAGTACCCCCTTTATTTTTTAGTGTATTGTTTTAGTGTGTATAGTGTACAGTGTACTGTGTATAGTGTACTGTGTATAGTGTACTGTGTATAGTGTAATGTGTATAGTGTACTGTGTATAGTGTACTGTGTATAGTGTATAGTTTACTGTATTATATAGTGCACTGTGTATAGTGTACTGTGTACAGTGTATAGTGTATAGTGTATAGTGTATAGTACATAGTGTACTGTGTATAGTGTACTGTTTATAGTGTATTGTGTATATATTTAGTTGAAAATATCAAAACACAAAATAAGAAATGTGAATATTTTCAGTTGAACTCATTAAATCTCGTAATTACTTAAATCACTTAATTTCTTTAAATAAGAAGTTAATTTTATTGTTTTAACACCGATCAAAGTTTTTATCCTAGCAGACAAGAATCACTGAAATCAAATAGCTTTACAAATTGGTAATATTTCTCTGATTTAGAAGATCAGTGTACACATTGTACTACATTGTACTGCATTGTACTGCATTGTACACATTGTACACATTGTACACATTGTACTACATTGTATTGATAAAACAACAGCTACAGAATATAACCTTGGAGAAACTTATAAGTCTCTGAAATGCGGTGCGAACCTGGTATTAAAGACATATTATCTAAAATATATTACATAACAATAATTATATGATATATCAATGTACCATTAAACCTTAGAAGTACCAATAACTTTTTACAGAATTAGGCAATTAATGGATTAGAAGTTATTCAAAAAGTACGTCCTTGCAGAACTTTTGAAACACCCTGTATATTTAGAAAATATGTAATTAAAACAAGGATTTACAATAATACCGGGGTACCATTCAGTTTAATCGCTTATTTTCTTAATTTGTATCATGTATAATTTTGCAATAAAAATCTATAAATTTACAATTCAAGATTTTCAAGGCACCTGAATGGTACCCCTGATATAAAATAACAACAAAATAAGCTTCCTCACCAATAGCATGAGAATCTGAAGGTATGAGAATGTGTATAAGTGTATAATGTACTGTGTATAATGTACTATGTATAGTGTACTCACCAATAGCATGAGAATCTGAAGGTATGAGAATGTCCACCTTATCCGATAGCACGTACACAGTGTGTATTTGGTAGGACAACACTATACCGTTATTGTTAGGTATTATACCCACTTCACTCGTTATTCCTTTAACTGCAGCCTGCAGGGGTATAAAGCAATTATACAGGCACCTTCCTATCTTTAGGTTGAGTTAATTAATATTATGCTATTGTGTAACTCTAGTAACAGGTTCTTTCGTTTCAAAACAATTTATTAATGAGCTATTCAAAACAGTCCGACGTCGAATTTCAGCAAGATTACACGGATATTTTCAGATCATGTTTCAGATAAATAATAACTCATTGCAATAATAGGAGCTTCTAGCTTGTTTCCCAGAACGGGTATAAGCAATTTAATGTTGAAAGTTTGAGTAGGAACCGTATTTGTAATTAAATGTTACAAGTCTCAAACATGTTATAACCCAAACATTTGCACACATCTATACTGGTAAAGTAGTAATCTCAAGTAAGCACGGGTTAGTCCTGTGTAATACCTGCGGGGTGCTTTTCTCACGGTATCATCATTACACATATAATATATATTATTACATATATTATAACATGTATTAAGGTATGCACATATGTATAATATATGTGGAATGCACATTGTTTTCGTAATATTTGTATCGACAAAGTAAAAACCCCAATTGTATCACGAACAAAAGGTATTATAACCGTATTGTTCTGCGTCAACTCTCATACTAGTGACAAAGTAAGCACTTTTACTATATGCAATAATATGTGCATTGTGCAACTCAGTAATATGCAAATATGTGCAACTTTTTACATATTGTAACAAATGTAAGATTAGCAGCTTTTTACATATTGTGGTGGGGGAGGGGGGGCTAGTGTAACTAAAGCATCAGCACCTACCTCAGTTATAACCCTGATATCATCATTCAGTTTGAACGATAGGGGGAGCCGGGAGGGGGAGGGGCAGGGGGAGGGGCAGGGGAAGGGGGAGGGGGAGGGGCAGGGGGAGGGGGGTAACTAGTGTAACTAAAGCATCAGTACCTACCTCAGTTATAACCCTGATATCATCATTCAGTTTGAACGATAGGGGGAGCCGGGAAGGGGAGGGGCAGGGGGAGGGGCAAGGGAAGGGGCAGGGGGAGGGGGTAACTAGTGTAACTAAAGCATCAGTACCTACCTCAGTTATAACCCTGATATCATCATTCAGTTTGAACGATAGGGGGAGCCGGGAAGGGGAGGGGCAGGGGGAGGGGCAGGGGCAGGGGGAGGGGGTAACTAGTGTAACTAAAGCATCAGTACCTACCTCAGTTATAACCCTGATATCATCATTCAGTTTGAACGATACTTTATCCACGTCCAGCTTCAGTCTGAACTTCACATATTTCTCAGGGTAAATCTGACTGGAGGCTGCTGCTTCACTTTGTTCTGCGGTTATAGCATTCATTATGTCAATATGTTACATAATTAATTATATTAACATAATAGAGTTACACAACTTGTAAAATTAATAATTCTGCTAATTAACAGTCACTAATCTGCAAGTAAGGTTCCTCTCTCTCTTTCATATTCAGACAACAGTGGGTAATCAGTGTTACACATTGTAATATATTATACTAGTGTTACCCGTATACTATATTAAATAGTGTAATGTTATTAAATGTGAATATAATCATGATAAATGAACTTGAAGCTTAAAATAATCTGTAAGAACAGAATTATAGCTTTATAGTACTTAACACACGTCATCTCATGAGAAAGGGTGTACACTGCAGTAACACACATTTAGATTGATGGGGTGATTGGAATAACACACAGTATACAGTGTACAGTGTACAGTACACAGTAAACAGTACACAGTACACAGTACATAGTACACAGTACACAGTACACAGTAATACAGTATACAGTATACAGTATACAGTAATACAGTATACAGTATACAGTATACAGTATACAGTATACAGTATACAGTATACAGTATACAGTATACAGTATACAGTATACAGTATACAGTATACAGTATACAATATACAGTATACACTGTATACTGTATATTGTATACAGTATACAGTATACAGTTTACAGTATACAGTATACAGTATACAGTATACAGTATACAGTATACAGTATACAGTATACAGTATACAGTATACAGTATACAGTATACAGTATACAGTATACAGTATACAGTATACAGTATACAGTATACACTATACAGTATACAGTAATAGCAGGTGCAGGTGTAGTAGAACTAAATACTTTAGTAGCAGGGTAATAGCAGGTTATTAGAGTGTAGCAGAATGTGAAACGAAGTATCTCGAGGCAGCCCGCTTATGACTCGACTAGTTTCGGCTTTTTAATAATTACTAATTATTTGCACCTACCTATAGTACACAGTATACTGTATACAGTTTACAGTAAACACCTACCTATAGCGCTATAAAGTGTATCCTTCTCCTCGGTGCTCATCCCGAACTTGTCCACAACACTAGTTGTAGATCTACTAGTACCGCCTCCCCACCACCCGCCGAACCAGGACGTACTCGCCTGCACCTTATCTGCCTCCAACTTAGCGCCTGGGGGGGGGTAGTTTATAGTTTATAGTTTATAGTTTATAGAGTAGCATATAAGATAACAAAGATCACAACTGATCACACTATATATGTAGAGTACACTATGAATGCTTTACGAACATTTTAATTGTACTTTAATTGATGGAAAATAACTAGGAATTTGCTTATTTTTCTGTTATAATAATATAGAGTTGCAAATGTTAAGATACATGAAAAGAGCAAATATGTTGAAGCGATGTGTATATGAAATGATTATCACATAAATAATATTTTAATTATAATTATCACTAAAATAATATTATACTAACTCACTCTGTTCGCAAATAGTGATATTAACGATATCAAGTGTGTCAAATATCTCTGTTATCCTCGCTAACTCGTTCAGTGTAGGCTTACCTACCATTTCTTTTACTCTGAAAACATTATAATTAGTAATAATTAGTAATAATTTGTAATAATTAGTAATAATTAGTAATAATTAATAATAATTAGTAATAATTAGTAATAATTAGTAATAATTCTAGTAATAATTAGTAATAGTTAGTAATAAATAGTAAAATAACAATATCATGTAAATATATAATATGAGTGGCCTCAGCAAGGTTTCCTACCAAGCTGTTGTTCAATAATGAATGTGTCTTAAATTATCACTACCACAATACCAAAGTTTACATACCAAGTTTACGTAATTTACTAGCTTTATCATAGTAACTATAGTGTAATGAATGTGCCTCCTAGCTGTGCAAATAGATTCATATTTGAGTCTAATTTGAAACTGATTATATTTTGTTAACAGAATATAATACATAGTATTTTATATAGTATCATATATAATATTCCGTTTACAACACAGCGGGTGAATGAATCCCCAAATTATTTTATATATTATATAAGCCCATGAACTGAAAGTTTTTTTCTCGAACATTTATGATAATCTTAAAATTGTCAGAATTGGGATTTGAGATGTTGTAACACTACACGAAGTGTACACTTACACAGAATACACTACACGAACAATTAAAATTCATAATACAATATTCAGTAATGTTCTTACCAGTCAATTTTATGAATCTGAGTAGTTTTCATAGAAAAAGTTCAAACTTCGAAAATTTTAACAATGCATTTTAACAATTTATTTTTACAATGCATTTTAACATATTATAATATATATATTAATATACAGTTAAATTACTTTATGGCTAGATGCCAGGATAGCCGAGTGGTATAAGACGGCACACTCTAGACTATCTGTATGGAAGTATTCTGGTGTTATTGGTTCAAACCCCACTGCTAGCAACTTCCCGCTACTACCCTATCTTGGAATGCAAAACAAAAAGTGTTACATTACAAAATATCATGATAAGTTCACATTGTTTAACACTACGTCATGTGAGATTTAACACTAATGAGAGATAATATATACTGCTATTTACTTATAAAGAACATGTCAGGATGGCCGAGTGGTCTAAGGCGCCAGACTCAAGAGATAATATCTTGTCTTCACACGAAGGAGCATTCTGGTCCACGAATGTGGGCGTGGGTTCAAATCCCACTTCTGACACTTTTACGATTATCAGTACGTAACCGTTTTATTTCGACAGTAAGAAGAATTATCATCGGCCATAATTCCGAAAATAAGCATTTAAAGGTATACTTTAATGCATAAGTTGTAGATAAATATGGCTATTGGGCACATTTTGGTGTATTGAAATAGTCTCTACGATCTTCCTGGGCTAAAATACAAAAATTTGAGTGATTGCGAAACTCTGGAAAAGGGTGTGGCCCAAAACACCATTAATACATTTAGTACAAAAATGAACTAAAGGCCAAATAATTAAATAAGAATCATCTAGAGAGGTGATAATCGTAGAGAAATCGATTTTATCCCGAAAAGCTAGCGTGTTCCCCTTTCATCTCGGAATATTTCATGTATTTTGAAATTTGTGTCCATTATTGTCCATATTTGTCCATTTTTGTCCACCTTATTTTTTTGTCCACCTTATTTTTTGTCCATCTTGAAAAGTTGAAAATGTAGGGTACTGCATGGACAAAAATGGACAAAAAACATTATCCCCTATCAAAAGGGACTACTATTATTAGTATTATTAGTAATACTAGTTTGTAGCAAATGTGAGAGGAATTTTATTTTATAAATAAAAAGTTTTTAAAAGTTTTTACTAGTAATTAAATACATTTCGCAGAAATATACAACGAATACCACAAATTGAATACCAGGTGAAGCGAGATTTTTTTAAATTACAATTTTAAACTGATAAAATAAAAAAACGAATGTTGATGATAATGGTAAAAGTGTCAGAAGTGGGATTTGAACCCACGCCCACATTCGTGGACCAGAATGCTCCTTCGTGTGAAGACAAGATATTATCTCTTGAGTCTGGCGCCTTAGACCACTCGGCCATCCTGACATGTTCTTTACACGTGAATAGCAGTATATATTATCTCTCATTAGTGTTAAATCTCACATGACGTAGTGTTAAACAATGTGAACTTATCATGATATTTTGTAATGTAACACTTTTTGTTTTGCATTCCAAGATAGGGTAGTAGCGGGAAGTTGCTAGCAGTGGGGTTTGAACCAATAACACCAGAATACTTCCATACAGATAGTCTAGAGTGTGCCGTCTTATACCACTCGGCTATCCTGGCATCAAGCCACTAATTAATTTAACTGTATATTATGTTAAAATGCATTGTTAAAATAAATTGTTAAAATGCATTATTAAAATCTTCTTTAAAAAGTATATCATGTTTTCGAAGTTTGAACTTTTTCTATGAAAACTACTCAGATTCATAAAATTGGCTGGTAATTACTGTACATTACTGAATATTGTATTATGAATTTTAATTGTTCGTGTAGTGTGTTCTGTGTAAGTGTACACTTCGTGTAGTGTTACAACATCTCAAATCCCAATTCTGACAATTTTAAGATTATCTTAAATGTTCGAGAAAAAACTTTCAGTTCATGTAATTATTTTCCAATCAGTCTTCACATAGTACATTTCCAAAGGTAAAACATACCTTTGATGAGGAAAAAAATGTCACTTTTTTACACTTTTTAAAAAGGCTTTTTAGGCTATTTTAGGCTATTTTACACTACACCTTTAATTACACTTTTTTACACTACACTTTTGCCTTGTTTTATGTATGGTGTAAAAAAGTGTAGTGTTATTATTGTCCACCTTATTTTTTGTCCATCTTAAAAATATAGGGTACCGCATGGACAAAAATCAAAAATGGACAAAAAACATGATCCCCTATTAAAAGGGACTACTATTATTAGTATTATTAGTAATACTAGTTCTAGCAAATGCGAGAGGAATGACCCCGGGGAGGGCCCCATTGGTTTTAGTAGGTTGCACATTTATTTTATTTTATTTTTTTAATAAATACAAATTTTTAAAAAATTTGTAGTAATATTATATATATTTATATATATATAATATAAATACATTTCGCAGAAATAAACAACGAATACCACAAATTGAATACCAGATGAAGCGAGATTTTTTTAAATTATAATTTTAAACTGATAAAATAAAAACGAATGTTGATGATAATCGTAAAAGTGTCAGAAGTGGGATTTGAACCCACGCCCACATTCGTGGACCAGAATGCTCCTTCGTGTGAAGACAAGATATTATCTCTTGAGTCTGGCGCCTTAGACCACTCGGCCATCCTGACATGTTCTTTACACGTGAATAGCAGTATATATTATCTCTCATTAGTGTTAAATATCACATGACGTAGTGTTAAACAATGTGAACTTATCATGATATTTTGTAATGTAACACTTTTTGTTTTGCATTCCAAGATAGGTTAGTAGCAGGAAGTTGCTAGCAGTGGGGTTTGAACCAATAACACCAGAATACTTCCATACAGATAGTCTGGAGTGTGCCGTCTTATACCACTCGGCTATCATGGCATCAAGCCACTAATTAATTTAACTGTATATATTTAAAATTATTGTAATACGAGACTCGTATCGTCGAGGCTACTGGTAATAGTTGATAAAGACTTGTATTCTATTATATCTTGAATTATTGAACGTATAATATAATACGCTAAATTACATTATCCAAGTATACTAGATACCTCATTTGATTATTAATATGATAATAAACACAGCTATAAGCTCCAGCAACAACTACACACTAGTTACACTGGCACTACAGTATAGTACTGTATACAGTTTAACACTGTTTACTGACGAGGCTATTAGCTTTATTACACCACTATACACTATATATTTAAATATATTATATAGTTAATAGTAATATGCAATGTGCATATTATACTGTCCTTAGAGTTTAACATATTTCTACACGTTACAGTAATTAATTAGTATTATATTTATACAGTAATTAAGTGTAAACTAAGTAATATAGTAAGACTCCCATGCTAAAGCGTCTCACTTACTCTCCCTCTCTTCCACTCTCTCTACGAAAATGTAATGCGTTTTTGTAAAATATAATAGGCGGGTTTATACTTTTGCATTTCAACTGTGATATTGAAATCCCGGCCGTAGGCTCGGGTTACACTAGTATTATATAATATTACGTAAGCCACTTTACACACAATTATTGTTAAAAACCAACAAATCATGTAACATGTTATTTAATGGAGATACAGTATATAATATTATATATGTAATATAGTAGTAGTGTACAAGTAACTTACTCTGGGCAGTTGTCTGATCTTTAGTAACATTGTTCATTTAATGTGTTATATTTTATGCTGCTTAACAAATTCAGGTGAATCTGGATTTAATACTAGTAAAATAATAATCACTATAAGAACTAACCTGAGGTTAGTGTACTCTCTGCACATTTCCCTGTGTCTCCTGATACTGCTCCATCTCCACGCGATTATCCTGCGCTTTACTCTCGTCTCTACACAATACCGGTGTAGATACTGCCACCTGGTTACATTTATAAAGGAGCAAGTAATATTTTACAAAGTGTGCTGCTACTTAGTCCCGTTATTTCGGAGAAACTCGAATCATTTATTCTATAACTATTTTATAAGGTATTAAATATATAATACTATTATATAATATAATTTAATAAACTTTTAATGAAGTTTAACAACATTACTCTCAATCGTCAATGAAATTCCATGTAACTATAGTTCTGTAAAACTACAACTACAATTATTAATTATAATCACATTTTGCTCCTTTATAAACTAGCTCAGTGTATTGAGTAGTACAAAAGAGCAAGCTGCTCATGACACTAGACAATGTTTTACACGCGTATTTGTATTGTAGTGTGTCATTACTACCATTACTACAACAACACAGCTCGCATCATAATATGGGGGGAGGGGAGGTCCAATCATATGGGGGGGTGTTCCAATGGCATCATATTATAAGCTTCATCTAGACTGATAAGAGGCATCTAACTATCTAAGATACGGGGCCCCCTCTCTTGTGTAAAAGCGACATGAACCCTAAAAGGTGACCAGAAGCGACCCAAAAGCGACCGGAAGCGACCAAAAAGCGACCAAAAGCGACCAAAAAGCGACTAGAAGCGACTAGAAGCGACCAGAAGCGACCAAAAAGCGACTAGAAGCGACCAAAAGCGACTAAAAGCGACCAGAAGCGACCAAAATTTAAAAAGCGACCAGAAGCGACCAAAAAGCGGCCTCAACGTGAAAAAAGCGACCAAAAGTCGACGTTGTTTAAAAAAAAAGTGACCCAAAAGGGCCACTTTTCGTCATCAAAAGCGACGGTCGCTTTTACACAAGAGAGGGGGCCCGATACGGATATAGTTCAAGACTATTCCACAAGATTGCTAGTGAGAGAAGGAGATACCCGGCTTTAAAGATACCACATTTGTAACTCACCCCCCCCCCCCCCCCCCCCCCCCTTTGTAACTCACCATTTCCTAGCGTTCCCCTTAATAGGGGTACCAGGGTGCCACTTAGCGAAGGGTTGTTTCTTCTTTCCGCGCTCCATCGAGTCTAACAGGGACATCGTATCAAGGTACTGCGTCTTACGCACCTGGGGACAGTTAGTGTTAAACCACATTATCTTACCCTAAAGTGGTGATAAAACAATATTTACACCACTTGGGGGTCCAAATTTGGGGACCTAAACTCCAAAGTTATTATTTTTTGGCTAGGAATTACATTCCTCTCATTCTGTAACCGGCATATATGGCATAACGCCAAAAAACTTATGGTTCAGTAATAATTGCCACGTGATTACCTCGGTTGTGAGAGAAGAGAAGTGAACACTGGCTGTAGAGACACGTGATGCCCATATAAGGAGTGTATACTACACGTGATGCCTATATAAGGACACCACACATTACCCACGTGATTAGTATTACCTCGGTTGTGAGAGAGGAGAAGTGAACACTGGCTGTAGCTTTGGGAACGTCCATAACAACCTTGTTACTGGGATCTATCACCATCTTCACTTCACATCCCATAGGGTGGATCACTGGGATATTGCTCATTCAACATAGTAACATAGCAGTAACAACAGTAGTAATAGTATGCATACCTCATTACATAGGGTAAAGCACATAATTTTGTCATTTTTTGGCAATTTTCCGACTGCCTGATATAAACCATGGGTTTTAACCTCGTCTGAAATTCCGATTTAGATGAAACCTCCACCATGTTATAGTAGACAGTCTAGGCAAGTTCTAACACAAAAATGATCGAAATTGCTGGGGTTGAAGATGTTCAAAAAAATTATTTTGAAAAAATGACAAAATTAGGTGACTTTACTTAATTTTGTCACCCCGAACCTAATTTTGTCACTTGAAGATTGTGCAAAAATTAACCGTTTCTCGGTATTTTAGACTACCTGGATGCATCATTCGAGCGCTTTTTTACCAACATTGACCTCAAAAATCCCAAAGATATGATGTTTTCATAGTTTTGTAGCTTGATGAAAAGATGACACTTTTTGGGTATCTAATCTTAGAAAATAGCCCCCAAATGCCCCTGAAACCACTGGCATCTTGAAAACTTTCTATGACGCATGAATCAATATTGGTTACTGATTCACGAAACTATATTTACCAATAGCTCTTTAAAACCCAGAATTACAATATATTTCTCGGCGAAAATATGCTATTATAAGTGTTTAAATGCTATTATAAGTGCCTTATACATATCCTATGGGCAAAAAAACTTCAGAATAGTTCTATAAGGCCATTTTCAACACAATCTGTGATTTACAAGAAATTTGAGAAAGGTCGATTTTTTTGACAAAATTAGGTACTTTTGGCAAAATCGAACCTAATTTTGTCACCCTCTGTAACTTGAACAATAATTGCGCTAGAGACTTGAAAATTTGTACGTATACTTCTGCTGTAGAAGATATTTGAAATATGCAATGGCATGAAGCTAGCTCAATTACTTTTGAAATAGCAATAAATCAAAATTTTGAAAATTCCTTAAGAAAACTTTAAGGATCTTATTTATTTTTCGGGTTAACAGTTTCGCCTTCATTTTTGACACAGATGCAAAAGAGCTAGAAACTTAAACTTTGTAGGAGCAGTTTCAGCAAAGTCTAAGCTTTCTTTTTATACACAAACCTTTTCTTTCAAGCTGAAATTCCGAGCCGAGGCAGTTTTTCAGAGCAAAATGACAAAATTAGGTACCCTGACAAAATTACGTGCCTTACCCTAATCCAATAAAATAAAATGGGATACGAATTCTCTCAAAGTATGTACTTATTGTACATTAAAGTAGGAAATAATCTTGCAGACCACGCATCATGACGTTATGGTGCCTTTAATGCTAACCGAAGTTATGTTGAGAGTTTGGGGTCGCCTTGGTGACGATGAGTTTCAACAACTCTGCTTCTATTTTGTGCTGAGGGAGGTTGAACAACTCCAAACTGGGGTTGTTCCAGTATACACAGAAGTTCTCTATCTTCGCAAGCTGGGAGGTAATGTATTTAGAACACAGAAAAGAAAAAGAAATGAGCTGATACAAGAAGCGAAACCACGGTATGCCCAATGCCCATACAAGAAGATGTAGAGACACATGATGCCCATATAAGGAGATGTAGAGACACGTGATGCCCATATAAGGAGTTACCTTGAATATCCTCTGAATTGTCTGATTACTGATAACAGCAGGTGACCACATCTCATCAGTAGTAGTCGCGTACAAGTGATCCAGTGTAACTCCAGCTGCGTAACCAGAGTCCGGGTCCTCGTACCGGATATGGATGTTCTTTATATTTAGCTGGGAGGGGTGGTTACAGGTTAGAGGTTCAGCAACTGAATCAAACAGTGCTGAAACCTGAAATTTGCAAGTTTCAAAAATTAACTCCAGTGCTTATATTTACGGCCCTGAATTCGCGTTTTTCCAAAAACCACCTCCCTGCTATCACTACTAATTGTTTAAATAAATAGCAGGAATTTACCTCCCTAGTCCCTGCTATCACTACTAATTGTTTAAATAAATAGCAGGACTTTACCTCCAGATTCTTGATGATAGCAGTGATGAGGCTCTCAGCCCAGGTCTGTTTCTGTCCCTTTCCCTGTGTTTCAGACATGCGGGTCTGAGCTTCCTCTACTGCTTGTAACATTGCCTTCTTTCTTGCTCTCTCTTCCTTCTTCGCCTTCTCTTCACTGGAACAAAGTGAACATTCATAAATGGCATAATACAAAAATAATTTGATGCTTTTGCTTTTTTCCATGGTTTTCAAACTTTTCAGCTGCTATTATTATAACCTTATCCTTGAAAAACTCCACATACAATATAATAGTTTCACTGCTTATATATAATATATTAACAATTAATTGAACAAGGTTTGGACTAACTTGTAAGGAGCAGCTTCTTTAGGAACGACTAATAAAACAAGGTCCTCAACAACCACTTTGGTAGGAGCAGTCCACAGTGCTTTCCATGGCACCTGTAGTTCCAGAGACCCTATCAGTCCAGCATACACAAACACTGGCAGGTCAAACTTAGCCTGTAATAATAGTCAGTATCAGATAGTAAATAGTGCAGTATAGTGACAAAATACCAAATTTAGCCTGTAATAATAGTCAGTATCAGATAGTAAATAGTGCAGTATAGTGACAAAATACCAGCAACAGTATGAAGATTTAAGATATTCCTAGATAAATATAATGTTGTGCCATAATACAGGGTGGGCCAAAAGTCAGTGTGCAAACGTTGGCCTTAATAGCTCAGTCACTGAGTGCTCAATTGAAATACTTCCCTCTGGTATGACTTAGTACCACCACTGGTTCGAGGTATTTGTCAACTCGAAAAATATTCGCGTTCATTTTTTTCAAATGGAGGTTCATTTTCACATTTATTTGATAGTTTGGATAGTCGGATCAAGCTAAATGTTATTGAATTGTGTTTGGCCATTCGAATTACGTTTGTCCTGAAAGAATTAGAACTGTAGCTTCTCAGATGACCGAGATATGAAGCATAACGAGTTTATTCATTACGTGTGATCAGGTGATTGGTTTACCTAATCACGTGATAAGGTGCCCCCGTTAACTACCCCGTTAAACATTATGGGAATTGTTAAGGGTGCCCAATTAAGGTGTCGTGTCACGGTGTCACATAATCACCCAGTCAATTTTGTTAACGAGATACACAAAATGCTTGATAACTTCGTCATTTCTAATCCGTTTTGCCTCATGTTTTCGGATCATATGCAACATTTGATAATCTACCGTCTCTGAAAAAATTAGGCGTTCAGCATGTTCAGAGAAAACAATATAGGTGTTTTAATATTGAATGGGCGTGGTCTAAAATATTCGAATTTTCAAATTTTGACGACGGAATCCTCGAACCAGTAAGTACAGTATGCCATCTGCAAAGCAACAGCTCTCAAATATAAAACACGGCGGAGGTATAAGACCCAACGTTTGCACACTGACTTTTGGCCCACCCTGTATAATGCTGGTTGCTTATCAGATCATATAATTATTTAACTATAATTACGCAGTACGCACTAATGCCTCAGCTTTGAGTCGTAAGTTCTTGAGGACGACATTCCCTGAAAATAAAAAATGTTAGACTTTGAAAATATGGAAACTCAGAGTGTCACATTAGAGAGAAACAAATGATGAGATTTGAAAAACTCTCTTCAAAGTTTGAAAGTAATTACAAAATTAACTGACCGCTCCATACAGCAAGTTTAAGGTCCTTGCTGTTTATATCCTGTACAAACTCTCCGAGTACTTTTTCTAAAACAGTCTCTAAAACCCTCTCAAACATGGGACAACACCTCCTGACAAAACATTCCGTGTTAGTTAGGGTAACCTGCTGACAGAAGTCGATTGTAATTTTCTTTCAACACAGCCTTATTTTAAGGTAGCTATAACAATGAACTCACTAAAAGTTAAGATCAGCACATGCCAAACACCCTCGTCATCATAGATATTTCTTTCACATCCATAGCATTATCAATCACTAAAACAAATTGAGGCATAATACAGAGAAATGGATTGTCTTCTCTACTAATACTGTCAAATTTTTCTAGCAGTATTTAGTGATTTGAAAACATAACTTTTAAAAATCAGAAGCAATTAGAAGTAAATTTAGGCAAAGATATTCTATATTGAGTAAAACTGTGTTATCAAATAGGTAGAATTCAGAATTGAAACAGCATATTGATACAGCAGCAAAACATTTTTCAAAATTTGAACCAATACCAACACATAATTATATTTACATGGAATATTTACATTTTTACATTTTATGTATCTAATTATCTAAACATTGATTTGATAATTTTTGTGCATTGTCTGTAGAGCAATGTGTGTAAACTGTATCCATATAATAATACAAAGTAATAACCAACTACTTAATCTATAAAGTGCAGCATTAAAAACATAATATATCTATTATCATATAATTAGATATTTACTACTTCTTTTCTCAAAAAATTAACTTTTCTTAAAAACTATACCAAAACGAGAGGGTAAATTTATGCGTAAAATAAATAGTACTTTCATGCAATGAATATAAAACTTTAATGATATGGTCACTGTAAAAACAGTGTATCAAATAAATAAATGAATATAAATTATTGTTTCAAGATCCATAAAAGTGAATAATCAAAATGGTCAAGATTAAAATCCATCACAAACTATTATACGAAAACTTTAAATTATAAATCAGCAACTGTTAAAAGCTGTGTGTGTTTCCAGAAAAGGCTCCTTTAACCCCCATGACTTTAAATCTATACAACAAGCCTTTATCACATAGGAAATGTAGCACATGGTAGGGATTTTCTGCGTACTCAGGATGACGGCTGGGGGCTTTCCGGGATAAGCGAACTTCAACAGAACAGTAATGCAGAGAGTCACAGTGATTTTCTTCCCAGCGAAAATTTGATTCCTGTTCACTTATTGTATCCAAATCACCTGAATCTAGACAACAAGTTGAAATGATAGTCCCTTCGGAGTTCATGGTGATTTCAAACAGAGGCTTTTTGTCTTCATCTGGGCCCCAAACTTGATAAAATCCTGATAGCCCCTTCGACATTTTGTTTGTTATAACAATCATTGAACCACATCTAAATGTGTTGCCAATCATAACCTTGTTAGGAAAAAGCAAACTTTGATAAAATATCATTGAATGCTCTACAAACTCTGGCTTTATGCCATAATCACGAAAACAAAGGAAACTCCACAGCCGAATATCAGTAGAAAATTGTTCATAAATGTCTGAACAACACGCAAAGACTTGGAGAATGTCCTTGACATCCAGGTACGACAAGACTTTGTAAAGTAGTTCTGACGGAAGCTCAGTCAAGGTTTCAACCATTTCTAATCAGTGCAGTTCATAGCACATGCTGTAAGATATTTTTAGTAAAACAAATTTTAGTAAAACAAATTTTATTTTATACCCACAATCAATTCATATTTAGTTCAAATATTTAAAGTCAAAATAACCATTTACATAAGTGGTTATATTATAATAAAATAATTTGTGATAAATTAATAAATTAATTTACGCTAAAAAATGAACAAAATATACACAATTTTTACCTAGTGCAACACTGGTTCAGCGCGCGGCTGATCGAAAAAGTTTGATTTGATTTACTAACTACAGTGTACAGCGTACATGAAAAATTACTTACTGAATCTTTTAATACTAGACACATTTTAATTCAGATGTTGTTCAATGAGTTAGCCACAAAAATGTTCAAATTATGTAGGAGGGTAAAGGACACAATTGCTAGTAGTGCTTCTTTGTGCCCGTTGACTACAATGAACATTTTGCGGAGTTTCTCCAGACGGCTTTTATCGGAGTGCGTGTTATTTACTTGGTTATGCACAAGCCAGGCCAACATTTTGTTTTTGTGTCAGCCGTGCTACCAGGTTGCAGAGTATTATAAACACTAAACAATTATACACTATACAAATTTGCTAATACAATATCATGCAGAGTCCGATCTAGCTGCAAACGTCAGACACCACAGTTCAGCCGCCAAGTACCGTTTAAGTGAACACCGAAACACGAGGTTTAGGTGTCATTTTGTAAATCACTTTATGGATGGATAATTCAGTAATTGTTGAAGAAAATTACAGTCACTGCCACCTATAGCGTTATGTCATGGGTCTGATTAACGGCCAAGAATAAACGTACGTGCGCGCTTAAGAAACCCGCGCAAATGTTGAGGTAGGGAGTAGCTACGGCGCGCTTTTAACATATATTACGTATAGCGCCGTACGGAAACGGCAATATTTAAGTAATTAAGTATTTGTTTACATAAATTCCACGTTTTTATCAATAATCTAGCATGGTCCAAAACTGTTAAAGTTGTCATTATGCCACTCATTATCGAACCTGCTTTGGGCATCTAGAAGAGATCGGTTTAGCCTTGATTTGATTGAGTTACAGGATGTGTTCACAAAGTCAGGTTTTAAGCATTACTTTACATATTTCTTAACAAAAGTTCATGTAAATCAAATCATAAATTATACTGCTGATAGGAACCAGAAAGTTATAACCTTATTTAGGCATCACGTGAGTTAAAGCAATTTCGTTTTGGCCATCATGTGAAGCAGGGCACTACTGCAATTCTGTATTTAGGGCCAAGAAGATCCAAAATACGGCATGTCAACATATGATGATGGTAAGATTTGTACTTAATGTATTTGTTAGCGCACTTTCTTGGATCTGTATCACGGTGAACAAATAAACAAGACTGTATCCAAAACATGATGTGTGAGGCTGATCAGAGCAACTGGTCATAAGTAGAAACTGACCAGTCTGGTGTTTGATCTGCTAGACCGGATTTTGCCGGTACTAATGTATTTTCCAGTTAGCTGGATTTTGCTGAACCGAAAACGGGTTTTAGAAAGGAATAAAAGTTGCCAAAACTTGTCAGAACAAATTAATAAGTTATAAATATACTTAATACATATCAAAGTGGGTGTGCTTTTGGTGGAGCGCACACATTTATTAAATAAATACAAAATTACTTTAAAAATGCTACCCTGGACAGTGGAAAGTTGTTTTTCTTAAATTTGTTTTAATTGCTTGAAAAGACTTTGTCAATCAGCAATGCGCTATTTAATTGGGACGGAGCGTATATAATTGACGGATGTTACTCGTCTAAATTTCTTCGAAGTAGCGCGCGCCGCTTTCTTCTCGCCGGGCCGGACCATTAACAATGGTCAACGTATAGTATATAATAATGCTTTTCAAAAGATTGCGGCAGAGCGCAAAATATACTGCTAACCAATTGATATAATGTATAAGTTTATAAAGTAAAAATTAAAATGCTTAGAGGTTTTGATTAACGATCCCAACTTTTTTAATTTGCAGCTTTGCATATCAACGATTTTGTAAATATTGATGAATTGCTCAATTGCGTTTTACGGAGCAACTTAATATTTTATAAACGTACAATTCAAATATGTATGATGTACAATTTAACGGCTGATATTCGTAAAATATTTGTTTCAAAAAACTCGGCGCGCGTCCTGGTAGGTTATAAATTTACAATGTAGAATGTAAAATTATATTTTGTTTGTGGTTTGGCTGCGCTGTAAGATCAAAAAATCCAACTTATTATATAGCAAATAAATTAATATGAACGCACGCGCGCAATACGAGTAATTTTTAAATGAATTTGATTTAGTAACTATTGTAAATAAAGTAAATGTACATCAAAAATTTCAAAAAAATATTTGTAGGTTTGAAACCTACTGTAATAAAACGCGCGCCGAGTTGGACTCGTCGACGGTAATACTTAATGAAACAATTATTTTACGAGTATCACTTAATTGACGATGTCAATTCATGGCAGCTCGGCGCAGCACAGTAGCGCATTTCGCCGATCTAGCCGGATCGCTGTGATCTAGCCAGATCGCTGTGAGAAGCCTCATTGAGTGCGCGGCGCGGCACAGTAACGCATCGCGCTACAAGAGTATCACCCGTTTAAAATATTAATTCAAAAGAAAAATTAATAAACAATAATGGCCAAAAGAAAAGTTTAAATAAACATAATTTGTTACACGTTCTGCGTTGTAGACCCGCTGCGCACGAGTCCCAGGAAAAGTTACTGGCTGGTGGTGGTACTAGAATTGGTTTAATTTAGACAGACGGCTCGACCTCGCGCGCGACATTAAGCATGATTTGAACGCGTGGCGCATTCCAATGTTCAAGCAGCTACCACGTAACACAATTCAGCCAATCAGAGTACAAGAATCCGCAAAGTTAAAGTTGCATACTTTTGATCGGCCCGAAATGGGATTTTTCTGGAGATTTTGAGATAACTCAACAACTACGTTGTCTTTAATTTTCCTCCTTGCGGTCCTCTTTCGGATTTCTTGAGGATACGACCTCCTTTTAATGAATCCTATTTAAGTGTCTTAATGATTGCCCTTGCTAGGCTTTTTTCTGGTGCCCCGGAAATGCAATGTTTGTGTTTTAACGCCCAATTACTTTTCCAATGATATAAACGGAGCGCGGATTCTATGAAAATAAGTTTTCTTAGTTGTTTGATGATGATGATGATTTAATATAAAGGAAACCTGTAAAAAACCATTACAGAATTTAATTACAAAAAAATATTTCCATATATTTATGAATTCAATAATATTAGAGAAAAGGCAAGTTTTTGAGAAAAGACAATTCAGAACCAAAATAACAATGTGGGAATGAACCATATTATCCAAAGATGATAGCACTCCATTTACAAGCTTTATCCTTTTCCAACTGGTTTTACTGGTACAAACCACATTTTTTGTATTATCGCTTGAACGGTTGTTTGGTTAATGTTGTTTGTTACAGGAAAATAAATTGAAAAGGTGTGAACAAATTTTATTCCCTGGAAATATTTATACCCCAAATAACAAAAACCTATAATTCGGTAAAATGGCTCCCCTCTGATTAAACACTCCGCTGTTTAACAAATTATTTCAATCCCATGAATTTCTCTGATTTCTTTTTCGAAATTCGTACTGACTGGAAGTAAGCAGGGCTTTTCTTACCACCACTGTTTGACTACTAATTTCACTCCTAAACTACTGTAAATGCACCAAAGACAATCAGTTTCTATTAGTATAAACAAAAACTGTAATTGTGTTTCCTTAAAATAAACACTTCAATATAATTTTAAAAATTGTATCCCTAAAACATGACTAGAGGGACTACAATTTGCAATTTTTGCAACATGTGCAATGCAACAAAACTAAACTTGACATGGAATGAGAAGAACATTCGTCTCAGTTTTCAATGTACCCACCCCTTTTAAAACACACATAGATGTCAAATTTCATTAGACTTGGACCAAATTATCACAAATTACAGGTCAATTTTGAGAATTTGGGTATCACACTGCACCTAAGAGTATTGCTGAATCTAACTATATTTATGTATAGTATAGAGGCCCTTTATTACGCTGTCGGCCTGTGTTCCGAGGCAATGATACTCCACTGGGTATAGTAAAAGAGTGTTCAAAGGATTAGCACAAGTACATGTAGTTAACAATATATCCTGAGAGATAACAAAGTTAAGGTAACAGTATATAAGGCAAAGGTCCTATAATATAAACTAAAGGTGTAATATATAGGACTGGAAATATATAGCCTGACAACGCCACTGACAAAACCATTATTTAGGATGCAAAATGTTGGAGAAGTACATTACTCCTCTCTTGATGTCCTATGTGGACAAGTACATCAAGGTTAGCAAACATCTACCAAATGTGTAGGGATACGTCAACTGTTTCTTTCCAGAGGACTGTTCAAATTCACTTATTGAGTATTTGTGCAAGGAATTTTTAGGATGAGTTAATCCCTCGTCAACACAGAAAAAAAAACCAACTTATTTGTTCCTTAACTACATTTCTGCTCCATAATTTTTTGTCAGCTCATGATTTGTGTTTCAGAACCTCTCCCCAAATGATCTGGGTGTGTCTCTTTGGGGAGGAGATGTGTTGTTAAAGAATCTGGAGCTCAAACTTGACGTCTTAGAACAGGTGACAGAATGTAACATCTTAAATTCTGCAATCTTAATTATAAGTTGATGATGGATGTGCATTATACTGCTATACAATTTCTTAATATTTTCTTTGCCAATTGTGATCTATTAATTATCTTCAGCTTATCAAAATTATATGTGAATGAATGCAGAATAACTTGAGTCTCGTCTCTAGTTTTTTTGCATATTATTGAGACAACCCTAAGCTTCTACAAAACTGATATAATAATACTGTTACGAGCAACTTAACAACTCCTTTGCCACATCAGGAGTTCCTATTCCCAGTCAAATTTCTGAGCGGTAGGATACACGAGCTAAAGATACACATTCCCTGGACTAGTCTTGGGTCTGATTCAGTTGTTATCACGCTCAACACTTTGGAGTGTTCCTTGACTTATAGACCTCTAGAGGAAACTAAAAGAGGTGTTTGATTATAGCTGCACAATTACCTGCTTATGTGTTGAATGTTAATGTTACTTCTTGATGTGGGTTTGGATTGAAATTGAACACTTTGAATAAACCTAAACAGAATCTATGTATTTTATAAAAAGAGTCATTAAGATGTCAATTGTTCAGACATTAACCTCATTACATCCTCAACTAGAAGCAGCAAGTACAGCAGAAGATGAAGAAGACAAGGAATCAGATAGTGGTATATCTGATGCTAGCGGACAACAAGCTGTTGCACCCAGCTATGTGCAGCTTCTCACTCAGGTAACAACTCTTGTTTAGCTGTGTCACTGTATTACCAATTAATTGTAGATAAACAGAGATGTAGTATTTAATTCAGTGCACAATTTGGGGAAAATAAAACAGTGAATATGGTTTTACTGTAAGTTGTATTTTGCTAACGAAAGATTATCTTTGCAGCGGATACTGAACAACGTAGAAATTCACGTGAACAACCTGATTTTCAAATATATTGAAGATGACATTGTTCTATCAGTCAACATCAAATCAGCTTGTGAGTTTTCCGACACATTTTTTCATAATCTAACATTTTTCATCTTACAAAATTGATATTTGTTTGAACAAATATAAAAGCAGATGGTTGAAATCGCTGGCATAAACAAATAACATTCAGTAAAGACATGATGATATGACAATATTATATTATAAAATGTATTGTTACAAATGCACATATTGTATAAAAATAGATAAAACACGCCAGGTATGTACACTGTAAACTCTGAGTGGAGCCAGGCCTTCTCTGATGTACAGTCTCCTGAACTGACTCTGAGAAGAGTTATTGAGCTGGTAGATCTCACTATCTGTCTGGATAGAAACAGCGCGTCAGGTAACTAATAACAGTAACTATAGTAACCATAGTCAGGTAACTAATAACAGTAACTATGGTAACCATAGTCAGGTAACTAATAACAGTAACTATAGTAACCATAGTCAGGTAACTAATAACAGTAACTATAGTAACCATAGTCAGGTAACTAATAACAGTAACTATAGTAACCATAGTCAGGTAACTAATAACAGTAACTATAGTAACCATAGTCAGGTAACTAATAACAGTAACTATAGTAACCATAGTCAGGTAACTAATAACAGTAACTATAGTAACCATAGTCAGGTAACTAATAACAGTAACTATAGTAACTAATAACAGTATCTTATATTAGATTTAATTTCAGATTTAAGGTAACCAATAACAGTATCTTATATGTATGCTATTTGCAGGTCGAATAGAAGTGTACGAAGAGCCAGTACTTTACAGAGCGCACATAAACTGCAGGTCTCTGTTCACCTTCCCTAACGTCTACTCCTTCTCTCCCTCCGCTATATTCGTACATGTTCTGTGTGACGATATTAACCTCAACATTTCCGATCAACAGGTCTGCAAGTAGATTACTCTGGTTTATTAACTTAAGAAGACCCCCCCCCCCCCCGGCCCCCTTAATAACAAACATGACTAGTATTTACAACCGGAACTATATATAGTAACTATATTATATATATACAATATTATATATATAATTTAGTTAGTGAAACTATAACTTGCTGTATACCCTGTATTATATATAGTAACTATAGGTAACACTACTATAACTAACTATGTATATTATATATATACATTATATATAGTTAGTGAAACTATAACTTGCTCCCCCACAGTTCCCTGCCCTGATAGTGCTACTAAGAAGATTGTACTACCTGACCAACTCTTCAGACACAACTAAACAAGTAGTCCACCCTGCTCCCCCTCCCGTCATGTCAGCTGACGAGGAAGGTAATAGTCAAACACAAGGATATATTCTGTGTTGTGTAGTCGAACACACAGATATATTTTATGTAATTTAGTCAAACACAATGATATATATTCTGTGTTGTGTAGTCGAACACAATGATATATTTTGTGTTCTGTAGTCCTACACAATGATATATATTTTGTGTTCTGTAGTCAAACACAAGGATATATTATATGTCCCCAGGTTGGATTGGTTGGGGGTGGAGTATGCTAGGAATGGCAGCATATGAGGACTACGGAGTCTCCCCCGCTCCTCCTGCTGAAATGCTCTTCAACTTCTCTCTCTTTGTTAAGAGTTTCAATATCTCATGTACACAAGTTCTAGCTCAGCGCAGAAAGAGGTTAGCTTTACTAGCAGGAACCCGTATAACCCTAAAATGGTGTCAAGACTCAAGAGACTAAAATAATTATTACCTATTTAATTCGCGTTTTTGACACCACTTGGGGGTCCAAATTTTGGGCTCTAAAACTCTTATTCCTTGGCCAATTTTTTATTTTTTCATGCTGATTTGAAAAGCATAAAAGCATTTGACCCAGTCAAAAAAGTTTCAGTTGTATATCTTTTACGGTTTTTGCGGAAAGTCGCGTTAAAGTTGATGCCGTGGTGTCAGTAAAATGGCACAAATATATATATATATATATCGTCTCGCTTTATATATAGTAAGATGTCACAGTGTGTAGATCAATATGTTGTTCTAGGTTTGATTCTTGGAGAATGAACTGTATTTTATATACATCAGTGAACACTGTACTGGTGGTTTGATAATATAATGGCCTAATGTCGGTTAATAATCTACTAGGGGTAACCAGTGTGTTCTTGGTTAACTATCGCAAATAACTATGTTCTCTATATTATTATATATATATTATATATTATATATATATTTAGTTAAATTATAAATGTGGCTCAGGTCAGCAAAGTACCAGTTCACTCCGTTCCTGAACATGAAGATACGAGGTTTAGCGATGGAGTGCGTTGCTAAGGGATACTACTACTCTCATTTCACATTGGGAGTGTGTAGTTTAACTGCAAACCTCTCTCACCATGTTAGTTAATTAGTGAAAATTAGTTAGTTAGTTAGTTATTTAGTTAGTTATTTAGTTATTTAGTTATTTAATGAGTTAATGAGTTAGTTATTTAATGAGTTAGTTATTTAGTTGTTTAATGAGTTGCCAGCCCTTTAACAGAAAATTAGTCCATTTACAGAAACCAACCACCGAAAACCAAAATTTAATTTTCCCTTTACAAGTTTGGTATGCCATGAACCCTGATTTAAGTATGGTATTAAACCTTTAAACCCTGATTTACAATGTTAATAATGATTAATGGTTTCAGAAGGAGCAAATGTTTGTGTTCGGAGATGTTGAGGTGGATACTATGAGTACATTAACAGAGGGCTCCCTGTTCGACCTGCTGCCTCAACTAGACTATGAGGTGATACAATCTGTGTAAATAATATGGTAATTAATTAATGAAATACAACTACATTAACTTATTAATTAATTAAAACTAAGTTAATTAAAGAAAACTACATTAACTTATTAATTAATTAAAACTAAGTTAATTAAAGAAAACTCCGTTAACTCAGGACAAGAGACACGCTACCGAGGAGGAGACACTAAAGTTCACCAAGTTCCGTGCTCTGTGGCTCTGTATGTTAAACATTATACCTGAGTTCAAACAGCGCCCTTTGTGAGTACAAATACACAACCTTTACTATATTGTTATCATCCCTTTCACTTGAAATTTTCTTGCACTATGGTGTGGTGAATATAAACAGCGTTATATCTTGTATCTTGTACACCAACACACCATAATCAATATAGTGCTAATATTAAGTGAGGTTAACCCCGAGTTACCGTAAAGTTTGGAGGAAATGGTTAATCAGAGTTTGGTTGTACATGCTTTATTAGCGAAAATAGTGAAGGCGGTCGATGAAGACATAGTTTTAAAGTTTTAATCTATACAGTTATTAAAATAAATTACAGTTATTAAATAAATGATCTCTATAAATCAGGGACGAATTGGACAGATTGGAAAGAAACGAGACCGAGTTGTTTGAGATACGAATGGTAGCTAACAAGTTTACTGTATTCCTTAATAACTCCATCCTCAACTCCCTCTCCCTCTTCTTTAACTCCAAGGTTTGCTTTTTCTTTCTCTTTCACTTTCTCTTTCTTTCCTTGTTCTTTCTCTCTTTCAGCTCCTCGATCACTCAGTCTCCTTCACATTCGAGACTGCAAAGTAATAATTGTTAAACTTTGAATTTCCAGACATTTTGTGCTATTTTACCTAAAGTAAATAAGTAAATATAATATAATACCTCTCCCAGACGATGTGGGCCCTGTTTGAGCGTCTGCCCGCCCAACCCAACCCTAAACGTGCTGTCTCCACCACACGACTACACGTCATGTCTCACCTGAGTGTTACGTGTCTAGGTGCTACTGTGTATCTCTCAGGGAGCAACGTTAGGTTAGCTACTTTCACTTTCACTTTCTCTTTCTCTTTCTCTTGTTACGTCACTTAAGCCATCTGTACAGCTGCACAACAAAGGTAATTTTGTTTATTAAGTGTATTAGTTTTTATTTACTTGAACACCAACCTGAATAAAATGAAAATTGATCGTCTATTTACAATAAAGAATATTAATTACCTAATTGAATAACCCACTAATTACCTAATTGTATAACCCCACTAATTACATAATTGAATAATTAATTACCTAATTGAATAACCCACTAATTACCTGATTGAATAACCCACTAATTACCTAATTGAATAACCCCACGTACAGAGAGGGAGACGGTACCCACCCAGTTTGCATGTTCTACACGTGCTCGCGCGTTGACCTGGACCAGCACGCCCCTCTGTGGGTCTCACAGCTTACCAAGCTGGGAGCACAACACTCGCTCACTACTAAACTGTGTTATTGTAACTACGCTCTCAGGGTACCCACCTTATTTTAATAATGTACTGTGTTATTGTAACTACGCTCTCAGGGTACCCACCTTATTTTAATAATGTACTGTGTTATTGTAACTACGCTCTCAGGGTACCCACCTTATTTTAATAATGTACTGTGTTATTGTAACTACGCTCTCAGGGTACCCACCTTATTTTAATAATGTACTGTGTTATTGTAACTACGCTCTCAGGGTACCCGCCTTATTTTAATAATGTACTGTGTTATTGTAACTACGCTCTCAGGGTACCCACCTTATTTTAATAATGTACTGTGTTATTGTAACTACGCTCTCAGGGTACCCACCTTATTTTAATAATGTACTGTGTTATTGTAACTACGCTCTCAGGGTACCCGCCTTATTTTAATAATGTACTGTGTTATTGTAACTACGCTCTCAGGGTACCCACCTTATTTTAATAATGTACTGTGTTATTGTAACTACGCTCTCAGGGTACCCACCTTATTTTAATAATGTACTGTGTTATTGTAACTACGCTCTCAGGGTACCCGCCTTATTTTAATAATGTACTGTGTTATTGTAACTACGCTCTCAGGGTACCCACCTTATTTTAATAATGTACTGTGTTATTGTAACTACGCTCTCAGGGTACCCACCTTATTTTAATAATGTACTGTGTTATTGTAACTACGCTCTCAGGGTACCCGCCTTATTTTAATAATGTACTATGTTATTGTAACTACGCTCTCAGGGTACCCACCTTATTTTAATAATGTACTGTGTTATTGTAACTACGCTCTCAGGGTACCCACCTTATTTTAATAATGTACTGTGTTATTGTAACTACGCTCTCAGGGTACCCGCCTTATTTTAATAATGTACTGTGTTATTGTAACTACGCTCTCAGGGTACCCACCTTATTTTAATAATGTACTGTGTTATTGTAACTACGCTCTCAGGGTACCCGCCTTATTTTAATAATGTACTGTGTTATTGTAACTACGCTCTCAGGGTGATCACCTTATTTTAATAATGTACTATGTTATTGTAACTACGCTCTCAGGGTGATCACCTTATTTTAATAATGTACTATGTTATTGTAACTACGCTCTCAGGGTGATCACCTTATTTTAATAATGTACTGTGTTATTGTAACTACGCTCTCAGGGTGATCACCTTATTTTAATAATGTACTATGTTATTGTAACTACGCTCTCAGGGTGATCACCTTATTTTAATAATGTACTGTGTTATTGTAACTACGCTCTCAGGGTGATCACCTTATTTTAATAATGTACTATGTTATTGTAACTACGCTCTCAGGGTGATCACCTTATTTTAATAATGTACTGTGTTATTGTAACTACGCTCTCAGGGTACCCACCTTATTTTAATAATGTACTGTGTTATTGTAACTACGCTCTCAGGGTACCCACCTTATTTTAATAATGTACTGTGTTATTGTAACTACGCTCTCAGGGTGATCACCTTATTTTAATAATGTACTGTGTTATTGTAACTACGCTCTCAGGGTACCCGCCTTATTTTAATAATGTACTGTGTTATTGTAACTACGCTCTCAGGGTACCCACCTTATTTTAATAATGTACTGTGTTATTGTAACTACGCTCTCAGGGTGATCACCTTATTTTAATAATGTACTGTGTTATTGTAACTACGCTCTCAGGGTGATCACCTTATTTTAATAATGTACTGTGTTATTGTAACTACGCTCTCAGGGTACCCGCCTTATTTTAATAATGTACTGTGTTATTGTAACTACGCTCTCAGGGTGATCACCTTATTTTAATAATGTACTATGTTATTGTAACTACGCTCTCAGGGTACCCACCTTATTTTAATAATGTACTGTGTTATTGTAACTACGCTCTCAGGGTACCCACCTTATTTTAATAATGTACTATGTTATTGTAACTACGCTCTCAGGGTGATCACCTTATTTTAATAATGTACTATGTTATTGTAACTACGCTCTCAGGGTGATCACCTTATTTTAATAATGTACTGTGTTATTGTAACTACGCTCTCAGGGTGATCACCTTATTTTAATAATGTACTATGTTATTGTAACTACGCTCTCAGGGTGATCACCTTATTTTAATAATGTACTGTGTTATTGTAACTACGCTCTCAGGGTGATCACCTTATTTTAATAATGTACTATGTTATTGTAACTACGCTCTCAGGGTACCCGCCTTATTTTAATAATGTACTGTGTTATTGTAACTACGCTCTCAGGGTACCCACCTTATTTTAATAATGTACTGTGTTATTGTAACTACGCTCTCAGGGTGATCACCTTATTTTAATAATGTACTGTGTTATTGTAACTACGCTCTCAGGGTGATCACCTTATTTTAATAATGTACTGTGTTATTGTAACTACGCTCTCAGGGTACCCGCCTTATTTTAATAATGTACTGTGTTATTGTAACTACGCTCTCAGGGTGATCACCTTATTTTAATAATGTACTATGTTATTGTAACTACGCTCTCAGGGTACCCACCTTATTTTAATAATGTACTGTGTTATTGTAACTACGCTCTCAGGGTACCCACCTTATTTTAATAATGTACTATGTTATTGTAACTACGCTCTCAGGGTGATCACCTTATTTTAATAATGTACTATGTTATTGTAACTACGCTCTCAGGGTGATCACCTTATTTTAATAATGTACTGTGTTATTGTAACTACGCTCTCAGGGTGATCACCTTATTTTAATAATGTACTATGTTATTGTAACTACGCTCTCAGGGTGATCACCTTATTTTAATAATGTACTGTGTTATTGTAACTACGCTCTCAGGGTGATCACCTTATTTTAATAATGTACTATGTTATTGTAACTACGCTCTCAGGGTGATCACCTTATTTTAATAATGTACTGTGTTATTGTAACTACGCTCTCAGGGTACCCGCCTTATTTTAATAATGTACTGTGTTATTGTAACTACGCTCTCAGGGTGATCACCTTATTTTAATAATGTACTATGTTATTGTAACTACGCTCTCAGGGTGATCACCTTATTTTAATAATGTACTGTGTTATTGTAACTACGCTCTCAGGGTACCCGCCTTATTTTAATAATGTACTGTGTTATTGTAACTACGCTCTCAGGGTACCCACCTTATTTTAATAATGTACTGTGTTATTGTAACTACGCTCTCAGGGTGATCACCTTATTTTAATAATGTACTGTGTTATTGTAACTACGCTCTCAGGGTGATCACCTTATTTTAATAATGTACTATGTTATTGTAACTACGCTCTCAGGGTGATCACCTTATTTTAATAATGTACTGTGTTATTGTAACTACGCTCTCAGGGTACCCACCTTATTTTAATAATGTACTGTGTTATTGTAACTACGCTCTCAGGGTGAACACCTTATTTTAATAATGTACTGTGTTATTGTAACTACGCTCTCAGGGTACCCACCTTATTTTAATAATGTACTGTGTTATTGTAACTACGCTCTCAGGGTGAACACCTTATTTTAATAATGTACTGTGTTATTGTAACTACGCTCTCAGGGTACCCACCTTATTTTAATAATGTACTGTGTTATTGTAACTACGCTCTCAGGGTACCCGCCTTATTTTAATAATGTACTGTGTTATTGTAACTACGCTCTCAGGGTACCCACCTTATTTTAATAATGTACTGTGTTATTGTAACTACGCTCTCAGGGTACCCACCTTATTTTAATAATGTACTGTGTTATTGTAACTACGCTCTCAGGGTACCCGCCTTATTTTAATAATGTACTGTGTTATTGTAACTACGCTCTCAGGGTACCCACCTTATTTTAATAATGTACTGTGTTATTGTAACTACGCTCTCAGGGTACCCGCCTTATTTTAATAATGTACTGTGTTATTGTAACTACGCTCTCAGGGTACCCACCTTATTTTAATAATGTACTGTGTTATTGTAACTACGCTCTCAGGGTACCCACCTTATTTTAATAATGTACTATGTTATTGTAACTACGCTCTCAGGGTACCCACCTTATTTTAATAATGTACTGTGTTATTGTAACTACGCTCTCAGGGTACCCACCTTATTTTAATAATGTACTGTGTTATTGTAACTACGCTCTCAGGGTATCCACCTTATTTTAATAATGTACTGTGTTATTGTAACTACGCTCTCAGGGTACCCGCCTTATTTTAATAATGGACTGTGTTATTGTAACTACGCTCTCAGGGTACCCACCTTATTTTAATAATGTACTGTGTTATTGTAACTACGCTCTCAGGGTACCCACCTTATTTTAATAATGTACTGTGTTATTGTAACTACGCTCTCAGGGTACCCACCTTATTTTAATAATGTACTGTGTTATTGTAACTACGCTCTCAGGGTACCCACCTTATTTTAATAATGTACTATGTTATTGTAACTACGCTCTCAGGGTACCCACCTTATTTTAATAATGTACTGTGTTATTGTAACTACGCTCTCAGGGTACCCACCTTATTTTAATAATGTACTGTGTTATTGTAACTACGCTCTCAGGGTACCCACCTTATTTTAATAATGTACTGTGTTATTGTAACTACGCTCTCAGGGTA